TTTATTTATTTGTTTCTTCAAACGTATCTAAAACTTTCTTTTATTTCTACGCTGCGCTTATAATTTAAATATTATTAATTTTTCAAAGGAGTGTCATATAATATCATTGTGTATAATAGCCTAGAATTGCATACAGCAAACTAATTCAACCTAGAATTAATGTAATGTATTTAATTTATGTATTTATGTATTTAATTTATTTAATCAAATACAAATGTTCATATGATTGACGTACAAATAATAATAGAACATAAACTAATTGAGTAATTACACAACATTTTAACCTATTAAAAATTAATACAAAAATGAAGAAATTTAATCTAAAGAATATTCAATTATATCACTGTGTGTAAACGGGGGGATCATTTGTGTCCAGTTGATTTTTTAAATTACGAATATTTTGAAAACAAGCGAGTACGGGCGCGCTGTTCTGTTCTTGAAAAAAATTGTGAGGTGGAGTAAGGTGTCTGTGTGAAAGTCAAGTTGGGAGCGTTATTTTCTCGTTGAGAGCGGATATTCAAAATCGAGCGCAGTCCCAAATGGCCTTCGTTTACATATGATGAAGATTAAAATTAAATATACACGAAAAGATAGTTTTGTTAAAATATCCAATATATCTAAAAATTTAAATACATACAGATCTAAAATAATTATGTTAGACCATAAAAATAATTATACAGGACACTCAAGCATGATGATAATGCTATAAAAAATTTTGACTAATACTGCAACCAGTTTGAGTGTCCGATATACAGAATTATTTGGATAATCCAAAATTATTATTTTCAGATCAATATCTAGCTAAAATTTAGATTCGATCATAAAGTAATGAATATTTAAATTTAGCATTAAAAGTATTTGTATTTTGTATAGTTTTGCGCTTTATTTCTTCTTGTATACAATATTCCAATCCGAAGCACGCAATCAAATCACTATCTTTTCGCGTCTTAGATCAGTTAGCAAAAGCAAAAGCAAAGAAGAAAAGAAGAGGAATAAGGAGAAGAAGAAGAGAAGAGAAGAGGGAGGATACGTATTTCAGTCATCCGACCAACTTTTGCAAGTTTAATGCCCGGGCGCTCGAGTAATTTAACACGACGAAATTAACTTTTCAGTTTTACCAAAGTTTCCTGGCAACTTAACCGCGTCTCCACCCCCTTCTCGCTCCTTTCACATCCTCCCGCGTTCCCCATTCCCCCGGAATCCACTTCCCTGCACCCACCCCCTCGAACACGAAGAGCCAGGACCAACTTTTAAAGCGCTCGTCGTGGTAACAACTGCGTAGCGCAGCGCTCGCTCCGCCGAACTATAATTCCACCCTTAAGACCCGAAGTTTACGACGTAAACTTCCCCACTCTCGCCGCGGCGGTGGGCTGACGCCGATGCTGCAAGTCTGTGAGAGTGAGAAGCCGAGACTGAGAACGGTTATCGAAATCATCGTTTCAACTGAACGTTATTCGATGATAAAAAATTTATATAACAATTGAACTCTCCACAATAGATTTTCGAAAGTAACTGAAATAAAATATATCAATAAATTTAGCCTTAAATTTGTTGGATTAAACACTGTTAAATTTGCATGCGCATTTTAAAGCAGTCATATCTACGGAAAGAACGTTAAAGTACTTAAAAATTTAGATACAAAATTTGAATGTTATTTTGTTAGACAATGAAAATAACTATGTAGAGCGCTTAAGCGTTGATGACAATTCTGCAAAAAGCTTTAACATTCTAGCAACCAACTTGAGCGTCTTATATAAATAGCTTAATATGTTAAACACAATTAGCTTTAGATCTACATCTAGTTAAATTTTCAAAAGCATACTTAAACAAAACCATTCTTTCCATGTATAATTTATAATATATAGTAAATTTATTATATATAATAAATATTAAAATATTAAAAATAAGCACATGAATAAATATGTTTATGTTATTTGTGCAAACACATTGTTGTGGTAAAACATATCTAGTTTTGTCCGCGATTCTGTTTATGTATTTTTTATCTTTTGTAATGTATATTATAAAAGTCATAAATCAACAACAAATTGTTTATTACAATCCTGTGCGACAATACACTCATACTACTAGATTATCGATAGCTACATGAAAACGATGACAAATTCGTTTACGAACAAATCAATAAAGTCAAAGCGTAATATAAAAAAAAAATAAAGAATTATTCGTGCGAAATATGAGATATATGTGCTTTTTACTTTATGCTCTTTGGAACAAATGTTTTTTTTTCTTGTTTTCCAAGCGTATGATTCATTTTTATTCGTGCTACCTCCAGTGTTTCATTTATAAATTACATCGTTGGAACGTGATCATCGATTAATCAGAAATATTGTAACAAGAAATACCTTCAAGATGATTTTTACTCTTTCTTTTTTTTCTCTTTTTTTACGAATCTTCCCTTGACTATGCAGACGCAAACTTAGAGTCTCGGTCGATCGGGCATTCGATGCCCTCCCCCCCCCTCCCTCCCTCCTCCCCGTGCCAATACTTCTCCGACTAGTTTTGCGTGGCTATTATAGCCGCACGATTGGCTCTCCGTTACTTCCCATTCGTCTGTCCTGGCATCCGCAACTTCTCGACGATCTCGAGTCTTTTCACCGAGAGTCAGCACGACAACGACTACCGGGCGGATATCGTAACGTGAGATATCGTCGCTATCGCTCATTCCAAAACGTCAGTTCTTCCGGCAAACAAAGACTTTAATGACTCAGACTCTTTCCATTTCGCATGTTTGGCGGCAAAAAGCCACCGTAAAAATATTCCGTTCGTAATAAATGGACACGCGTGCGAGCATATTATTGTTGAAAATAGAGATCTACTCGAGGGAACTGTCCAAAAGATGCGGATGACTGTGACAGATTCATACTTCCCATCGCGCGACAGCAGAATATACGACACGAAAGATTGCGCTCTGGTGAAGTTTCGACGTTCCGAACTTCTGAAGCGACATTCATCGGATACAGAAGGCAAGATGGAGAAAAGAAATAGGAACTATAAAAAAGAGGGACCAATAGTTGACTGGGCTCATAAAGAAATATGTCGATTCAACGACGAGATTCCAACTTTCCTCACGGGTATCCGTCTCGTAACTGCTTTGTAAGGTACAAAATTCCGAAAGAATAACAAAGATTAAGTTTGCCCCTTCCAGAAAAAATTCCACATACATTGGCTTATTATTTTTTCATAGAATCGATTCAGACGTTAAACTCTTTTCAAGTCATATCGTTGTAAAATTATCTAAATATTATAATATTGTCTGATGCAATAGTATAAAGAAATAAGGAGTAAGTTTTATTTATACGTTGAGATTTCATAAGCTATACAGCTGGAACGAGAATGCATTATTTAAATTCAAATCCCATCCTTGTCCTATTAAGTTCATCCTCTC